TATCACTCCACCCAAAATCACAAGCTTCAGCTTTTGATATGATTAGTTAGCAGAGTATAAGGCTCTCAAATATGATTTCATTTAGAAATCAATAGTTGGTAAGATACTTACGACTTGTCAGTAGGCTTACAATAATTATATGCGCATTGGATTAATAAAGAGTATTCTTAGTAAGCAAGTAGCTTAATTTATGCGGAATTTCTTATTGAAGACTTAAAATCACGATTCGTTACAATGAGAAAATGTGAAAATAAAATCGCAATACTTTTTTGATTCAAATGCGTTCAAAAATATGGCGTTTTTATCTGTAAGCTGCATCTTTATTGAAATTCATTGGAAAATATATCGCTGTTAACGGCAGAAAATACAACTACAAAATACAACTCACTCGCTTTTATATGAAACATACAAGTATCTATAATTAATAAATAATAAAATATCTTGTGTGACCAAAATTAAAGTTACACGTCTTTGCTGCTCAGAAAGGGTGCGAAAATTGAAATACAAGTATGTATATCCATTTCCGTCCAGTTTTTCTCAAAAATAGGATTTAGCTATTTATGTATACTTGGGTCTGTAAGATCATAATAAAGTTAGATCACAAATAAATTGTATAACTGAAAACACTTTTAGAAATATATGTACATACACACTTCCTTAATGCAATTGCTGTAAGACACTAAATCTCGAATTTCAGACGAAAATATGACATTGATAATTGTTTAGCTTGCAAATCAAATATACAAGTAGATATACATATAATATGAATTGTTCTATTTTATATTTAAAACCATTATGCCCTGACAGGCTATGGGAGTAAGTGCTTTGGAAATCGCTCGTAATTTAGACGTGCCTGTACATTTGGGGCGCAGCAACGTCGAAACTCATTTGGTTAATTACTTGCGGTGTGCACGAGTCGCCATCAACCGCTATTGTTCTCGTACTATTCGTATTTACATGTACTAGTATATGAGCAGTATTATAGCCATGTTCTAAATGAGTGCGCGCTGAGTCAGCGACTGGGTAGGTTTTTTCTTACATAACGAGACGCAATTGTAAGCAAAGAGTCGAGACTAAACGAAATGCTCATTGATGCATTTGGCGCCACATTAAAGCACCGTTAGCATCAATCTCCATGCAATTAAAAATCATTGAGCTGATGCTTTCAGCTGCTCCTACTGTCCACTGTCCACTGTCTACTGCTGTTCGCTGTTTGCTGTTTGCTGTTTACTGTATGCGGGATCCGGTTACCACTTGGCGCACTGATCCGCTTACCGGTCTTCATCTGCATCTGCGAACATTTTGTCGGGTGTCCAATTGCCACTGTTATGGCCAACGGATTGACTCTGGCCGGCCAAACAACTTTTCAATTTGCAGCAACAACTTTAAAATATGTTCGCACACTTTTAGTTAAAACGACTACTCACTACAGTGCACTTGCTTTTTGATGAAGCCAATTAACATCACTAACAGGGCTGTGCTTCATTTTTTTTTTTAATTTGCTCGAAATTACATTTTCTTCATATATATTTTGATTATATATTTAAGATTATTTATGTAATCCATTTCTCGTATACTTAATATTAAATGTGTGTCTTACCAGCTTATCGCGAATCTTATAACGTATACCTGCAGGCAGACAAGCAAATAATTTCACACCAAAAATAAAACTATCAGAATGAAAACGAATGAATACGCAAAAATCTATTTATGGCGCTGTTTGTGCATTTTCCCTTTGTAATATCTATTATCTCTGCGTTTTAGTCTACTGCTTTTCGTCTAAGCAATAAGATTTTATAGATAAACTTGTTCCACAATCTACAATCTTGTATAATGGTTAGTAATTATTAATGTTGTTATATAAAGAGCCGCTTGTTATAACTCAAATATGCATACAATTCATAAAACAATATTTCTATAGTAGCTACTAAAAATAATGGGGCTATAAGTAAATAGGTAGTTTGTTATAAACCAGCTTGTGAATTTGTTATAAACCAGTCATTGACATCGGCAAATGTGCCATAGATAAAATAGATATAAATAGATCCAAATATTACAATTTACAGCCATATATCTACATTTTTCTAACTAACGTGCAATATAATAACAATAAGATGTCTTGCCAAAACGTGTTAGCGATTATATTAATAAATGGGGACCATGAGTATATAGATAATACAATGGCTAAGCAATTCTTAATTAGTCAATCGACTCTATATCGACTCGATTCTATAACACTCAGTCAACCATTGCAGGACGATGCCAAGATCTAGTCAGTTTTTATTTTCTACTTACTTTTTTTGTTTCTTAATTTGGCAAAGCTTCCCGGAAGGGTCGGATATTATGGTATATTTTCTAGTATATCGATGCTTCCTTTCAATCCTTCAATAAGTTGGAATTATATATAGCCCATATTTTATTGATTATTTAAATGAATAAATAATGATCTCATTAGACCTTAATAACTGAGCATGTAGTTCGATAATAAATAAACAAACTCAATAAATGGAAAAGACTATGTATGTATGTATATGTATTTTACAATTTGTTAGGTAGAGTGTTGAACTATCCAAATTTAAGATTTCATGTTTATAACTAGTTTAAAAGGCATTGTGTTCAACATATTTGGAGAACGCTGTATTATCAGCATTCACTTTGTTTTGTGTTTATTCTTGTAGCGGTATTTCTCTTTTTCGATTGTCTAATTTGCAACAAATGGCAAGTGCACAGTTCTAGCTAGCTGTGATATTTAAAGTACACTTTGCTTTACATTTTATATTAGCCCAAAAGTCGATTAACTAATACCAACGACCCCTGTCCTTTGCCTGCGGCCCTGAGCGCCCACAAACGGAGACCCGACCAGAGCAGTCCGATGCAGATCAGAACAGAGAACAGAGAACAGAGACCAATTGCCAATTGGCGACAGTCAGCAAATTAGAACGGCATCACGGCCGCCACGTTCAGGTGATTTCAATTTGCAAAACTGGACCGCAGACTGTCGGAGGTCAGCAGGAAAATATGAAAACTGCACAACAACAACAACAACAATAACAATAACAACAACACCAGTAGTGGAGCCATAGCGACGGCGGCCATTAAAGCGGCATGGTGCGGCGGTCATAAAAAAAACCAACAGCAACAACATCAAGAACAAACCTGTTTTTGTGACAAGTGCGCGGTGGTTCGGTTTGCTCCACTCCGCTCTTCTCCATTGGTGTTGCGAACAGTTTAAGACGGCGTTTTTACAGTTGGTTTTTCTTCAGGCCTTTTCTTAGTTGCCGTTGCTGTTGCTGTTATTGCTGCTGTGGCCGAAGCCCCGCACCCGCGCATTACCAACTCTTTGGCTTTTTAGCTGTTTTCCGTTTCGTTTCGATAGCTTGAGTGTTGCGCTCATTGATGTTTGTTTGCTTTGTTTTACAGCAATTCAAAAAAAGAAGAAAAAAGTTTGTGGTTACGTCGTCGTAACTTGCACTCCTGTTTTAAAGTTCAAAGGTGCTGCCGAGTTGGTGGTTTGTTTCTTGTCTGTCTGGAAAGCGTGAGAACTACGCGCGCTTGTTTGCGCTTTTAATTGGCCGATGTGCAATTTTTAGGCTGCAAGTTGGCCAACATGCCTCGCCCAGATACGGAAAATTCTAGACAAAATGATGCATCAGTCTTTTATTCGGAGAGAGTTCAAAATTGTATGCTATTTCATTTTCCGTAAATTCACCTTGGAGTTGCTTTAGAATTGTTGGTAGTAAAAAGTGTCCTACTTCGGACAAACTGTACAAATTTCAAGGATATTTTCATTTTGTTTTTCTCTAATTCGGTGACAATTGAATTTTTAAGTTTTTCTTTAGGCAGGGTAACTAAATTTATTTTGAATAGCTATTATTTTTGCTTAAAAGCGATATCATGAGCTCAACTCATTTCATTTCGATTAAAAATAGAATTATAATAAAACAAAATACACACCGTGCATTATATTTTTAAATATTATATACTATTGTAAATCGCATACCTCTCAAATATACTCATGTTAATGTAAATAAAGAATACAGTTTTCAGAAGCAATAACATCGTTTAAAAATATCCCTTTCTGTTAGCTCCAAAAACATATACCCTAATAAAAGAAGCCGGTGTAAAAACAAAAATTTTTATGACTGGCGATAAAACGGGGTGTTTTCAAAAATATCCTGAAACCAACTGCCAAATTACCGAAAGAAGCGAAACTTCCAAATACTTATTTAGAGATGCTAAAGGTAAAAACAACGAACCGAAGAAAATTCAATTCAACAGGAATGCATTCCACCTGCAGCGTATTCGCCGTATTTGGCCAAAATATTATGAAGAAGGAAAGTAGCGCATTTTTCACGACAAATGCGCCGCCTTATCGATAAACACGTGTGACTGATTTTATGACGAAACAAAAAATCGCATTTTAACCATAAACCATTGACTATAGTCGCCTATTTGGCTCCGTGTGAAACTAGATTTTTATAAAATTGCATTTAAGACTCGTACCACCATTCTGAAGAACGTGTCGGCCTAAAATATGCGCTCGAAGTTTACCAAACGTTGTATTAGGTCGTAAGGTCGGAACTCGAATTATTTTGAATATAAAAACTCATTTTGCCAATCTTTCAATTCGTTACTTTGGCTCATTTCTTGTGTACTTCAAATAATTATTTAAAATATATATACATACTTGTATATCGAGAAGTTCGTATCCACGACACAAAATACTACGTTTCATTTCTTCAAGTTAACCTACCTCTTCTCTTTACCTAATTTATTTATTTATATTATAAACTCAAAAATCTTATTAGTGCTCAAGAGTACCCCAAAAATGAACAAGATGATTCACTCAAATTAAAACACAAGCACAATCAATCAACAGTATATTTGGCAGACGTGAAATGTACGAATGAATGGATGTGCGAGTACGAATACGAGTTCCAGTTCTATCAGCAAGAAGCTACTTACGGGTAGTTGTGGGTTTACCCAACCTTAAAACTTACATTAGCGGGCATTTGTGTACAGATGCGCCCATTTGGAATCTTTCGGAGCGGCCCAAAGCAGTAGCAGTATTAGTCCCATAGTCGTATAACAATCTCGCTTAATGTGTGCACTTAAAAACGTAACTAATTTGTTTTATTCCTTTTTGTTGTTCACTTTGTTTTTGTTTTTATATTTTGCGCGCCACTAATGAAGCTTTCGATCTAGCTTATGGGTATCGAAGCGAGACGGCACTAGTTGCATGTATTTCTTGTGTATTTTTTGTTTGTATTTTAAATAAATTCAAACGCACTGTTGAATGCTGGATGCAATCAAATCAAACGCGTTTTATTTCATTGCACTCAGATCGGCCGACTTCACTGATTTTGTCGACTTTGCCGCCTGCTCGTTTGTTTGTTTATGCATTTGACCCGCTTCGGTTGACAACAGAAATTAATGCAAAAGCAACAACAATAATAATTAAAAAAATATTGAAACAAGTTACGGTCATCGCGATACACGTTCGGCTCTTGCTTGTTTTTGCTTTTCTTGTTCTTTTTCATTTGGATATTGTAATATATGTAATTATATATGTAAATAGCTACTACAAGATGTATGTATGGACATTACAATATTAATAATGTAATGAATAAACAATATTGTATCCCTTTGCGCGTTCATAAAATAAAAGCCTCAAGACGAGTATATGTTCAGTTCTAATTTAGCAGTGTTCCTAGTCAGATGCCGTGTAAGAAACTATTTGTAAAGATATTTAAAGTGCAAGACACGCCTGGTAAAGATACTAAATCGGATAAGAAACTCTTTGGATAAAATATACTATAGTCGCAATCAATATTAGTGTTTAGTCAGTTGTATTGGGCCCCTTTCAATATGTATAGTACTTTAATATTTGTGCAAGAAACGTCTACGTCTGGTAAAGATATTAAAACGTGTAGGAAACTCTTTGGATAAAATATACTATAGTCGCAATCAATATTAGTGTTTAGTTAGTTGTATTGGGCCCCTTTCAATATGTATAGTACTTTAATATTTGTGCAAGAATGCCGTCGTCGTTGCGGTTTCTCTTGCTGCTGTTGTTTTTGTTGTTGTTACAGTTTGATTCTGATTTGCAGCGCAAAAAAAACTTGTTGGCTCTTATGCTTGCTTATGATTATTTTCTTCTGCGCCGAAACGCACTTGTCAAAAACAAACCAACACACATACCAACACATTCACATTCACACTTTGGCCGTTTAGCCAGCTAGCGTTAGCTTTGGCTAAAATATTTTCGTTAGTTTCTAAAATCTCGCGCACGCGGCCAGCACCCACGGATCGGCCGAACTTGCTCTCGTTGGCTCTCGGCGGGCCCGATGAAAATTTCATGCGCACTTTTGTCTTTCGTGTTGTTTAGGCCACAAGTTGCGCGAGAAGACTGAGCGCAGAGCGCTCTGCGCCGGTGGTTAAACAGTAAAGCTCAAAGCCCCACTTAACACTAGCAAGCCCCACATATTTTTAATGATCGATAATATGATAATGATAGATAAAGGACAACTCCTTTAATATAAGAGTAGTTGTTAAACTTATGTCTTAATGAACTATAGGCTTTGCAAATCTGTCAAATGTTAAAAATATGTAAAAAATAATAAATATGTAAAAAATAATAAATATGTAAAAAAAATTAAAACTAATAAAAATTCCATAGGAAAATATAGATTTCTGCAAAACCAAACTTCTTTTGATTTCCTTTTAAAAACATCATTTTAAATTACAGTAAATGTGCATGGAAATTATTTAATAGATATCTTAGGTTAAATGTGAACTCAAATGTGAACTTTTTGAACAAATCAAAACATTAACAGATAAAGCAATAAGCAATGATAAACTCCTGAAATATGTAACAGATAGATAAATAACATGCTTATTGGTGGCAAAATACCTTGGCTTGTGTTGATACTATACTATATACACAGGTATTCAAAGGACATATTTAAATCCTTCACTAAAATGCAATTTGAATTGAATACAACCCAGCTGAATAAAACCGATCCATAACATTTTCTGCAAACAATACCTTGAAAAGGGGAATTTCGACTACCTTCTTTATGTACAAAAAATTAAATATACAAAAGTTAAACTATAAACTTATGATCACTTAATAGTTATTTAAATATAGTAAAATTCCAAATCTTTCTCAACATCTTCTTTTCATGATATTAAACTTCATAATTTCTTTATATTTGTTGACAAACAATTTTAATTTTATCTCCGATAGCAAAGCAACAAAATATTGAAGTGCGCCATCTATTGTCACTTTAGGTAAATTATTCGTTCTTCACCTATGTTGACGCTTTAAAAGCTCAAAAACGAACCTCGTAACGGTCAAATATGAAGTTGAGCTTAATGGCCTAACTTAAAAGCACAATAAGAGTCTACCGTTGCTGGCCACCATCACGCACTATACTCGCATACGAGGGCTCAACGAAAGTGCCGCCAAAGAGAAGCTCAGAAACTGCTGCTCCGACTTCGCCCGAATGCGTGCGCGGCCTTTTGTGCCTTTTGTGTTGATCTTGAGACTCAGTTTCAATTATTGATTTATCTCTTTGTGGTTGGCCGCAGCTTCCAGCTTTAGCCACAGTCTCAGTTTGGAGCTGTTCGGTCTTCGTCATGTCTCCGTCTTGCCAACGACTGACCAGCATGCGTCTTGGAAGTTTATAAAAGTTTGAGCCAAAGTGCAGTGTCGCACAGTTGGCCGAAAAACGTTGCACGCGCTCGCGGCCCTCTTCAAAATTAAGCGAAATTTCGTGTGGTCGAGCTAAAGCAAACAAGTTGCAGGGCTAATCTTTAGTGAAGTGCTGTTTATCAAAAACGAAAACGAAAGTCTGCCGAAAAAGAAAAATAAAAACAGTCGAGACACGAATTTCTTGAGCGTGTGTAATGCAGCAATAAAAATAAATTACCACTGGAATGCTGCAACATATTTAATTAAAATACATTCAATAAAAAATATAAATAAAAAGTTGACGCGTGTGCAAACTGGTATATATGTATATACCATGAATTGGCACTGATCTAGCCATCAAATTGAAATCAGCAGTAAAAGCCACAACACAATTGGCTTTGCCCAAAATTTTATATCGATTTTTATGTAAGTGTAAGTGAAGTACGCGGCCAATTCTTGCGCAGCTCAGTGCAAACAAAACATGTTAATTGATTGATTATTATTTATTAACATTAACGCGACGACTTTGTCTGACTACCACAAGTTTTGCAATTTGAACAAGCTGCCAGCAATAAGTACTCATCATATACAAATATTTCTACGAATATAAATGTACAATAACATATAGTAATGTAAATGCATAGTGAACAAAATTGCGAATTGTCAAATCCGTGTTTGACAATACGCGACTCAAATTTAATTGTTTGTATGACAATAACTTATATAAACTATCAAAAGATGCCAAGCGATTTCGCAATCTCAAACGTATTATCATACTCGTATCCAATATGGACCCCTCTCTTTTCCTCCTCTACCACTGTTACAACATGCACCAGAAAAAAGAAGCTCAGGGCACATAATATATGCAATAAGCGACCAGCCAAATAAAAGACCAGAAATGTGGAATTTTAAAAAGCCATCAAATACTTGTAGATGGAAATGTGCAGCCCATGCGGTTTTATGCCAGCAGCCAACCAACTACTAGATGACCTTAGTCAATGCCGACCTTTTTCTTACTATATAACAATAATTCTCGCTGTTTCGTTGACCACACAAAAATTTGTTGCGCTAATAAACAATAAGCTTGGAATTATTACGTACCTTGTGCGCATGTGTGTATGCGAGTGTGAGTCGAAACGAAAACAGCAACAACAAAAACAACAACAATAACGTTGAAGGTCTCTATATTGGTTGGTCAGCTAGCAGGCAAGCTATCTGAAATGAAACCCAAATCAATTGGGCCCACCACAGCTCGCTTTACACATGCGCAGTGCAGCGCCTGAAGAAGAGTCGGAGTCAGAGGCCCAACGAGAGAGCCACACTTACCCACACACACACTCTCCTACTCTCTCCATCTCTCCCCTTCTCTCTCTCTCTCTCTGGCCTGGCAACGCTTAGAGCGCTAAAGGGACGGCAACAATTGCTCCGGCAATCAATTGAACCTTAGCCGCCTGCCTCAGTGTGCTCGGAATTGGGTTGAGTTTTGTTTATTTTTTATTATTATTACGTTTATCGTTTTTACGGTGTCGCCGACGTCGCCGTTGTTGTTATGGTCGCTGTATATAAAAAACTTTTACTCTCTTGCATTGCGCGGGCTCGAGCAGTTGTTTGTTTTTTACTCTGCACAGTTTCGTCAATGGAAAAAGTAAAAATACCAAAAATATTATTAACGTATGTTAATTATTGCATAAGTTTTCGGCGACACCGCCGACCACAGCTTGGTGTGTCACAAAACGTTCCAAAAAAACAAATCGAAATTGATTTCAATTGCAATGCAGAGATGCTCATAATTGAAGTCTACATTTAAATCGCGCCCATGCTGCGTATGCGTAATATTCTCACACTCTGTAAATTAGCCTCCTATTGTATAGTATGTGGAGTATATGGAGGTGTGTGTACGAGTTTTTCGATGAGACAGCATAAATTGGTAAAGCGCGTGTGTTGCATTAGTTGTGGGTGCGTTTTATTTGCCATTGCGTGTTTTTTTTTATTTTTTGAACTGCCAATTCAAATAAATAGGCAAGTGGTACGGGCAGAGAATGACCTTCATTCACGCCAGCTACAAATTTTTGTGTCAGTAAAAAGTAAACACCAATCGAACAAGACACTCAAGTAGTAGACCCATGTCGGATACAACAATAACACTGCTCAACAGTTCATTCGCTGCAGAGTTAACAAAATTTGTAACACATATGTGGACTCAACTGAATTAGCCAACATTATAAACACTAGTTGGTCGGGTGCGATAAGTGCAAAGGTATACACTGATTAGGGGTCAGTAGCCCAAATGGACAAAATTCATTAACATTCAGCATTCGTTGCCCATCATGTGGTCCATTTACATACCAACATTTAAAAAGACTTTTAACAGCTTCGACAACAAAATATCTTTCTTATACCTCCAGTCAGTTCATCTACAATTTGCCCACAAAGTTTTCTAATTATGTCATGAATATTGGGGAAAACTGGGAACATAAAAGTTTGTACATTTAATATGCAATTTGAATTATTTTAATATGACCTTAAAGGGGCTTATGAGTTTATAGACAAAAATCTGTTAAATAGAATTTAACTTACCAAATTATTACAAAATTCAATTGAAATCAAAATGGCTTAAACTAAATGCCAGAAAAATGACCGGTTTCTTTGAAAAACTTTCTATAAAACCGGCAAAGCTTATACTTTTTGTTTTACTTCCTTTCATAATTGTGTAGAATTTAGCTTTCCAAGCAATACGTTTCATAAATCAGCTTTCCTAGTTATCTCCGTAAGATCGTACATTGCAAGATCACAGAAACATCTGCCGATCAAGTTAAATTAAAAACAAGTTTCGAAAACTGCGGCCTTTAAATTAATAGTTTAATGACCACGCCAATTTTGGAAATTTCGTTTCATTATCCATTTGTATTTTGTTGGGCAGTGTAATTAATGTTTATGAACTATCGTGCACATTAACAGACATTGCTAGCAACAAGGACAGCACCATAACACTGCATAGAAGGGATCGAGGCCAGCACCATGGAAACCAGCCGTATTGGCTCGCTGTTGGCATTGCTGTTATCATTAAACCTGCTGTTGGGCACTGCCAAGGGCGCAGTCAACGAGAGCATTGCACTCCGGCCCCAGCAGCACTACAAGCATCCAGTCAATGGCACTCTCAACCACAGCCCAAGTGCCTTGCAGTTTGAGGAACAGAACCTGCTGGCAAGTCCATCCACAGCAACTAAAATAGATTCGCCTCATGACACACACTTGGCTCGCACCTCTGTCATTTTCGGGCTTACGAAAGTGGCCAATGAGAGCAATGTCAATGCACTATGTCTGGCCCAATTGCGTCATGTCCAGCGTGGAATTCTTGGCAAGCAGCCGTGGGCCATGAAGGGTAAGTGGAAGCAAATTACACAATGGTAGCCTCACAGTTCAGGGCTAAAACAGAGCAGAAAAGGTAGAATAATTTCATATTTATCTATATATATATATATATCTTTCTTGCAGCTAGTTACAGAATTTAAATGTTCGGGTACTTAGTTTTATTTTCATACACAAATGCATATTTAAATTAAACACAATCTTTTGCAAATGTTTCGAACCGACTTTCTAAAAAATTATATTTATTTAGTAAACGAATTAAAGTATAAATTGAAAAATTTCCTCAATTCTTCTCATGTGGCAATATTTTCTATAATTATCAGTAAACATTTTCTTTTTCCTTGCTGCCAAAGTTAGGTTTCAAATACGTTTCTTCAATAAATTAGGCAAAATCATATGTTTTCATTTAAAAGAAAACAAGAGAGAACGCTACAGTCGAGCAAGTCCGACAGTTAAATACCCTGTACCTAGGTAAACTTCCGTCACTGAGGTATACGCGCCCAAAGCAGCAGCAAAAAGTGGAAGAAGAAGAGCAAATTATTTCGCTAATAATATGTCTTAGAACCAACCAAAGATGAAATTTGAAACAAAAATAGATGATTATATATAAATTATGTGTGCAAAGTTTGGTTAGGGTAGCTTTTGAAATGTGAACGCTATTGACGAAATTCTGTAGCGGGGGAGGGGGGGAAAAATTAAAAAAAAAAAAAACTCGTTTTTTCTCGGACCTAGGAGAATCTGGGTAACAACTTTGGTTACTCCAGCTTTCTGAAATCCTTGCGTTCATGCAGACGGACAGACGGACGGAAGTGTCTACATCGATTTCTCTCGTCATAATGATTCAGAATATATTTACTTTATGGGGTCGGAGATGCTTCCTTCTGCAGGTTACATTTGCACAAACCTAATATACCCTTTTTACCCTTTATACCCTGTACCCGGGGTATAAAAATATAGGTTAAAGAATTTTTATACCCTGTACCCAAAGGGTACAAGGGTATATTAAATTTGTGCGAGTGTACATGGAACACACAGAAGGAGGCATGGTAGACCGCACAAAGTATATATATTCTTGATCAGCATGACAAGCCGAGTCGTTATAGCCATGTCCGTCTGTCCGTCTGTCTGTCTGTCTGTCCGTCTGTCTGTCTGTCTGTCTGTCCGTCTGTCTGTATGAGCGCAAGGATCTCAGTAAGTACAAGAGCTAGGATAACCAAAATTGGTATCAAGGTTCCTATAAGCCCTAGGCAGATCGAGTTCGTGATCGAGATCGTGTTTTTTTTTTCATAACTCCCTTAATTATTAGAATTTTGTACTCAGATTTGGCAAATACCTCCAGTTAATGATTATGAGTATGCCAAATTTCATCATGATAGGTCAATTCTGAAGAAAGTTATAGCCATAAGTAAAATCGCTGCTCATGCGCTGCCTGCAGCTCTGTCGGCAGCGCTGCCCGCAGCTGTTGTTGTTGTTGCTGCTTTGGTTCAACTTTGTGCTGCATCCACACACGCATATAAACACGCATAGGTACGTGATGTAAATGTATGCTGTTAAAACTGAACATAAACATGTATTCTAATTTAATTTAATTAATTAATTTTAATTAATTAATTAATTCATTTTTTTTTTAAATTTTATTTTTTTTTTTTAATTTTTTTTTTTTTTTCCTTTTTGTGGAGAGTACAGGCTATTTTACTGTCGGGCTTGCTCGACTGTAGCGTTCTATCTTGTTATAAATGGACTGATTCGATCTACAGTTTTTATATATACATATGCAGTTAATTTATTACTTCGAGATACCTAAAGAGGTTATTGCTATTTGCGTGATCGCCCTCAGTAACAAATCTTGAACTTTAACTGCACAGCCAACTTCCACTTGACTTTTGGTAACAATGTTCTATAAATACTTTCTCAATTTCCTTAGTGTGAGGAAAATCGTAGCTTAAGGATTTATCAGGTTTTCAGGTTTAGACTTACTCATATTGGAGGCAGATACCAAATATTTATAGTAGCAATCAATTATATAAACAAATAAATGTTTGTTAGCTCTTGTTATAAGTGCTTATTATAGTAAATGCTTATAACTGTAGGGATACACATAGATGGAATTGTACGAAATGAAGAGTGGGTTGATTTATAGTATTTATAAATGCAGTTCAGTGATATACAATACAAATCCTAAGCTTAACTCGAAAGAGTATTAGAAATTTCGACTCTATATTTTAGTGCTCGATGCATCTGGAACGAAGCCATCCGGCTTTGTATATGGACAGAACTACTGGTTGGGTAGTCGTGAGGCTTGTCGGGACGTGCAGCGCCGGGTGGGCATAACGCTCTCCAAGAACTACGAGCGGGTCATGCACTACGGAATTATCACACAGCGAGCACCTTTCGACATGGACTATAGAGTCGTTTATCTGCGCCATAATTCGCCCTGGCAGGTGGAGATAAAGCTGATGTCGGAGCAAATCATACATATTGGACTGTGCCTGCCCAGTGCCTGTGCATCTGGCGAGATCAAGCAGGTGGCCAGAGAGTATGTGGCGCATGGAATGTTCACCGAGAACGACATCTTCGACATACGCCCCGAGGTGGTGTATATGAAGGATCTGCAGCTGCGCGACTCCTTCTACCAACGCCCAAGCTTTCGGCTCGTCGTCGGCTGTTTGCTGACCACCTGTGCCTTAATGCTCTGTGCCCAACAGCTGGCCGGCGCCAAAAAGCTGTCCACCGGCGACGCTGCAGATCTGGTCACCACTGAATCGGAGATGTGGCGCGCACTTCATTCGCTCCTTCAGTGGCGGCGCTTGAAGGCCTTTGTCGGCTGCTACGATGTGCCCACGAACTGGGCTAAAATTTTTGCCATACGTGAGAACAATTCCACCGAGATACCGCTGATGAACGGACTGCGTTCCGTGTGCGCCATTTGGATAATGATTTTTCATGTCGTTTGGTTCATGTACTTCACGGTACACAACAAAACGGTTCTGATCTCGTATGCGGAGAAGGCATTCTTTCAATATGTCAGCTCTGCTCCCCTGCTCGTGGATGTGTTCTTTACCATCAGGTATATGAAGACATTGGTGGTTTTTTTTAAATTCGAAAATATCAACTTCATCATATTTTTGGGTTGTTTATTAATTATTACGTCAACAAGTATGGGAAGTCGACACATACACACACACACATTTCAACTAAAGAGATAAGAAAGGCTCTAACAAAAGTACAATAATGTCTATTAACGCCTCCGACACGTTGGGGGTTTTTATTTTCCAAACGGCCAGCAAAGCTGATTCACATCGAAACGTGGTCAGAGACTTTATTAGACCAAAAGAACTATCACATAATTACATAGTTTATTGAAGAGAAAAAGGTATTTATAATTAATAGCTGAAAACCAAAGCAACTGAAAGAGAAATCCCCAATACCAATTAAGTTGCTAGTTCGACCAGATCCTGTAAACTGTGGAAATAAAGCTGCCTCGACTAAATCTACTTTGATTCACCAGTTATCTCTCATATCATAAACGTTCAGTAGGTCTCTGGCTGCCCTATCAGCAGTTTCCCCGATCTCGCCGTGAATCAGTCTGTTCCTAGAAAGTTAATAAATGAGAGATACTATTAACAGTTCGCCTAGAAATATTTTTAGATGTTTTTGAACCACCGCAGAACATATTTTAGCAGAGATCTATAAATTCTTGTAGACATTTCTCCAGCTACAATGCTAACTGTTGAGCATTCCTTTCTTATTCAGGGGTTTCGTAAAATATTTTATGTCCTAACAATAACATTCATTAATTTGTTCACAAAAATAAAACAATTAACTTAATGAGGCTATAAAGACTAGACACTAGAGATGTCTGTTGGGGAAGAGTATTCCAAAATTACTACAAATTACTTATAAATAATTCGGCTCTTCTCACTACAGTGGCTTTCTTCAGACCTACAACTTTATGAGAAATGCGGCACAATTGGAAGTGATTCGTGGAAATGGGCTGCGCCAGAATGTGAAGCTCTTTGGCAAGCTGTTGTTCCATCGATACCTCAGATTGGGGCCGCTATATCTCGTCGTCATGGGCACTGTGGACTTAATATATGCCTTCATTGGAGACGTCTCTATTTATCATATCAACGAGCGTTTCGATGAAATGTGTGCCCAGCACTGGTGGCGCAATCTCCTCTTCATTCAGAATCTCTTCGATCACCGCGACATGTGTGCGAATTGGAGCTGGTCGCTGGCTTGTGAAATGCAGTTCTTCATATTGGCCAACATATTACTATTTCTATATGTGAAGTAAGTCGGACCCATTTCACTTAATATGTACACCATTGATCTGTGCTCCTATTTAATCCGAACTCATTTCTATGCAACTTATTTTTTGTTTGTTTGTTCAAATTATCGCGTTCAAATTTTTCAAATTGTAAAAAGCAGCTACATGGGACCCCTTCAGTCTACATTTTTAGGGTTATATGTACTTGTATAAGCTTCTTCAAAATTCTTCTTCTTAAATTCAGATTCTAATAGTTTTATGAATTCCACATTGAAGCGAAGGCTCTCATAAATAAATAACTACAATAGAGCTCAACAAGTCTATACGTTGGCTTCGGTCTTTGCAAATATGCGCTTCTGTTGTTTTAAGTAACATTATTTTATTTTATTTGATGTCGACAAACATAGGCTGTCAACATAGGACAAACGTTAAGAATCTATCACTCAACTCGATGGGGGATTTTTTAACTGGCCAACTATGCTCCGATTCACAACCAAGTGTAGTAAGAGGCGTTAATAAATCTACAAACACAATTTTTATTATACAAATTTCGCATTCAAAAAAAACTAAGAACTTAATTTTGATGTGCTTTTAGAGAGAGAAATTATGAATGGGAGGAATGAAATTTCTAGTTTATGTGAAAAAAAAAAAAATTGGTAAGTTTACAGAAGTCGGCTTGAGTAGGGAAACAAACGAGTATTGGTATCTTAGTTTAAGCCACGAAGAGAAAAAAGAAGAAATTGTTTCTAATCCGGCTCAATCCGGTCCTGATGCGCAGTCCAGTGCTCACACCAAGTGGTATTCGTTCGATCAACATTTAAGGCACAGTATGGAATCAAAAAGAACTCCATGATCTTTGGAGTTACACAATTTTTTGTAGAGTGGAATAATACAATAATTTATGTAAATGGTTGCACAAACTTCAGTGTCGAGGGACAAATTGAAGAGCTTCAGCAATGGTTGGCATAAGGCATTAGAATACTCCATTGGCACACAACTATTTATGAAAGTTGTCTGGCCCAGGAGAGTACTATAGAGACTGAGAGTAGGAGGAGAGTAGATACTTAGAGACAATACTAGAGTAGATCACCAAAGTTGAGGAAAATACTTGTATGCAGCTCCATTGATGCCCTCAGATATGAATTGTTGGATAAGCATGGTGTGTAAAACTCTCTTCTAGTCTGAAATCAAACCATTCATGTGTTGAGGATCAGACTTTAATTAATTTCACATATTGATCTTTAAATTATTGTTCATTACGTTATTTGTGAGTCGATAGGTATTAATGCTCTGTCCTCCACAGACACCCCAAGCTGGCCAAAGCGATGGTGGTCACGGGATTTGGAGCCACGATCGCGTGGACATATGGCATTGGCATAAGCATCAATTTTGAGCTCTCCTTTGATGCGGCCTTTGCGACTGGCACGGAGATCTACACCAGTCCGTTTGTGCGCGTGATGCCCTACATTATGGGTGCCATTAGCGCCTGGTGCCTGCTCCAGAAACGTCTGCAGTGCGCCTTGAGTGAGCAGCAGGATCGTTGGCTTTGGCATATATCCTTGCTGATCTTCTTCCTGTGCATCTACTCGACCATCAAGCGTGATTTGAGCTCCCTACTGGCCATCTCGCTGTTTGTGGGCGGACGCTTCGCCTTCTCCTTGAGCGTCTGCTGGATGATTGTGGGCAGTGCCACGGGTCGTGGAGTGTGGTGGTCCCGTCTCCTGGAGGCGAAGGGATTCCAGCACTTGAGTCGCCTATCGTATGCCATTTACTTGCTCAATCCGCTGATCATTGCCTTCTTCTACAGCTTGACAAGCGCCAGCACGCATGCGGACCCATTCATGCTGGTGAGTATTCAAAATGCGGCCCATCCTAGTTGCTTCTAATGTCCCCCAACTGGATTTCTCAGTGCGTCGTCACATGCGGATTTGCTGTCATCGTCTACTTGGCCTCCATTTTCTTCTCCCTGGCCTTCGAAGTGCCCTACAGCAACCTGTCGAGTCTGCTGCTGAGGCGAGGGATCCGATCAAAAACCGCCTAATGATGCTAGTTATATTTTATTTTTGTACATACATACAAGTATATAGGTTAGGAATAGAACGCATCTCCATTTGTATTGTGATTGATAGCATTCCATGTACAAGTCATTTTAATCTGTTTAAATATGTTTAAGTGCTAAAATCGAGCGGCCGCTGTGCCCAAGTCATCTATCTAGTTGTAGTACGCCAGTGGCCACCATATTGATTATGAAATAATAAAGCAAAGCCGTCTGCGCCGAAGCCATATACCCTTCACTCTACTTGCAACAAAACTGTAGTCCTTCAATATAAAAAGTTCCAATACCATATAAATTGTCTAAAATGAAAAGATTTAACATGTCTAATTACAATTAAGTTTTTCCGATTCAATTTTAATGTTTAGGCACATGTTTTGCAGCAACATGATGCGAAGCAGTTGTTGTGCAACATTTGTATTGCTCGACATTTGTGCAATTCACAAACGGGTTGGTGTATCGGCTAAATAACAAGCATATTTTACGACGTAAGTATTTGCTTAAGCAGTGCATTTCAGCAGTAAAAATTTGTACGACAACATAAAAAACATTTTGTTTTAAAAATGTACATCAAATTAAATTCTATATTGGGATTTTCAATAATTTCACAAATCGCAAAATGTATGTATGCTACCACTTGAGATCAACCAAGACCCAATTAAATGTGTGTTGACCTTGGTTTTTTGTGCTCTTATAGATAAAATGACTTATTTTTTCATAAGCCGTTTCATCCGTTATAAATAAGTGCGGAAATCCTCGAGGTCGGACTATTCTGGATTTGCCAACCTGTAATGTTAAGGTGCTAAATCTGCCTCACAACGACTGGCAATACAAACCATCAACTAATAAGAAACTCCTAAATAAATGAAAATAATACATTTATCAAAATTTTGAATTCAATTTTGCTTTGAAAATAGATTTTTAAATCGAGACTTCACGCGTTCCTTTGTTTGAATTTTTTTAAATTGCGCGGGCGCTTGCCGTGGTTTGTTTCGTTCACAGCTATGCGGTCACACTAAAAAGCCACCAAACAGCCCGTTGTTATATTTGAAATCATAAAGAAATCCTCAAAAATCAATAAATGGAAGCATAAAAAACAGCTAATGTTGTTAAACAATGTAGTTTTCTTTTTAAATATATAATTAAATATAAAACGCACTTTTTGTTTAACAAAAACCAAAATATTATTGCGCGCGCACTTCGTATCGATATCGCGTATTCACAAGTTGGCAGGTCTCAACAACCACCCGCCAGTTCATAAAAAACTCGCTACTGGGTGGATGTGTTGCTGCTCTTGCTCGCGCTTCAGTTTTATTGTTTGTTATTAAAAGTTCGAAAATTAAAACATTTGGCACTGCTCAATTTTAAACAAACCTAATTAATAGTTTCACTATAAAGTGTGGCAATTGTGTAACGACCTTGTGAACAAGCTCATTAGCAGCCCTCGACGAAGCGAGTAACAACAAAAATTTCCACCGCCCATTCGTACTGCAGCATCCATCTGAGCATCCTTGCGGCTGCTTCTTCTTCAACGTTTGCATTCCTTTTCGCCAGCGCTTCTGCTGCTGCGTGAGTGCGTGTCGTGGCCGACGTATGTTCCGCCCTCAGAGTATAATAAATAATTTAGTGCATATAAAGTTTGTTTATCATATTTGCCAAAGTAAAAAACCGGAATTTGCGCTGCCGTGCTGCAGTCGCCGCTGCGAAACGTAAGAGCGTTGTGTGTGTGTGTGTGTGTGTTAACACCGTGGCCCATTGAGCGCGTGTGCGTGCCAGAGTGCGTGCTCGTATGTTGGCCAAGCGAATTTCCTTAAATTAATTAAAAATGCGAAGTCGCGTTAGGTGATTATTAACTCAGCCAGTCAGCCTGCTAAACAGAGGCTTGTATTCAAATATATTCATATTTTTTACCGAGTCCTCTCACACTCATTGGTCGGCATTCGCGTGTGAGGGTGTGTGTGTGTGTGCAGCGGGCGGCTAGCGGCTGAAAAAACAAAAAAAAAAAAAAACGAAAACTTAATTTTGCTGCTGCCATCGCTGCCGCCGCCGCTGCTCCCTCAAGTTAACTGTTATGTGCCAACTGCAAACATCACAGCAACAACGCCGACGTCAACGCCGACGCTGGAAAACAGGCAGGGGTACAGAGACGCCTAACCAGGTGAGTGGTAATAAGCTAGTACTTAGGAACAAGAAAATCGTATGCAAATAATGTGGGTCGGTCTACGAGTATTGTGGCTCCCGCCTGCCACTTGCCTTTGCTTAGGCGTTTATCCTACAAAAAATCTGTGGCACATTTATGGCATGCGTGTGTCTGTGGTGCTGCCACTTGCCGCTCGTATCTTATCAACGTCACGTCCCAAGCATCATCAGTCGCGCATTGTTATTGCTGTTGTCGTGTTGCTCTGCCGCTGCCCGCTCTTTAGTTAACACATGCCAAAATAGCGCTTATACATTTTATTATCTTTCGCTCTTCGTCTGCGTGCTCTCGCTCTCACATTGGCATTTAATATTCAACAGCACATTGTTGTTGGCACTGTTCAACTTTCTTTTTATATTTCTGTATTCATGGTCTGGCAGAGTAACGGAGAGTTTTACAAATAACTTAGTCAGCTGTTTGTTATTCATGAAGGTAACACCGCACTACAACCATATGTATCGGCGTGGCTAGGAGGAGGTGGAGTCGCCCCAAGCCCGACTTTTTAAAGTAGTCTGCAAATTCTAAACAATGGCACTTTATTCAATTTCATTTTATTTGCATACATATGTAGTACATACATGGGTAGATATACATTCTTACATACATATAGTATGTATGTATATACTTATGGGGCCGATAAGTTGAAAGTGCCGCATCTGTATACAAGTAATGTATATATTTTTATGAATACATACATACATATGTATATACAACGAAACGAAACGAGCCGATAATAGCCCTTATTTACAAATACAATTTTCAAGTGGTCGAGTTAAAATACTTCATACACAAATACTTTAAAAATAAATCGGAAACGGTCCCCTTGGACCATTATGTCACGGGCGTTTTCCCTAGAAAAATTGGTTCAGTTTAAGTATTTGTACAACAACACGAAGCTGGGGTACTTGTTTTTGAAATCGAACTGATTGACAATTTTTATTTTGGTGTTATTTTTAAAAAACATCTAAGAATGTACATACTACACGATCATAACAGTAAGAAATAGAATGTATTGCATTTACAAATATCATCCGAGTTATTTTATCCTAAAGGAAGCTATTGACGAATCAAACCAAACTGCACCCACGGTTTTGTTCTTCTTTTTGCTTTTGCTATACGCGCACATATTCTTTGCTTTTGACCTATCCTAATCAAGTTCTACATGTGGTAGTCACTTTTTATGTTAGATCATATCAAAAGTACGTAGAAAACAATTTCCAATGCACTTCTTATCTAGTATATTATCAAGTCTAAAGGCATGACAAAATAGGAACATGCCCTATTACTAGACCTCATTTGTTTATGAAGTAACCGTAAGCCAATTAAAATTTTTAATAAAAAGTTCTTTAACAAGTCTCACTTAAATCGGACTCTGAACCTTCTTTTTTTTTTTTTTTTTGTTAGCTACTTTACTTTTTCTCCTGTATAAGTAGAAATAATAAAGTCTCAATAAAATGTGTATAAATACACAAAGAAAAGCAAACAAGGAGCTACATAGCTCTTCACATATTAAAGTCTTTGTGATGAAAATATATGTATAAGGAAAGTGTACAACGGAATATTTATGCAAGCTTTGTTCATTTTTTTATTATGATATAATTAAAAAATAATAATAAAAATCGAAATTTGTACCTCAAAGTTAGAATTCCGACTGAAACAAATTCAACAAAGGTATATAATCTTAAACTGACGAATTTGTTTGAACTTTTTTCTTTTTTTTTTCTTAAGTAGCAACGCCCATTCAGACCAAAAAGAAGGGACACATTGTGCCAAGAACTGAGAATTTGTGTATGTTTTTTGTCGTTCGTGTTGTTGTACAAATACTGCGATATTAGTCGCGACGAGGACGGCACAGTCGTCAGCGGTGGCGGTGGCGGCGGCGTCGTCGCCGCATTGACCTTGAAAAAGTTCAGCTGGCACGCAGCACCGACATTCGCACAGTGGAGCGCGCAGAGTTCTATTGCCTACTGGTGGGTCTTTAACTGCATTTTGCAGCGATTGCCCCACCATCTCCCTCTCACTCACAAGTCAAGAAAGCAGCAAAATTCTTTACCCACACACACGCATACATGCATATGTACATGTATGTATGTAAACAAGCACTCCTGTTATTATTCTGTTTGCGCTACTTTACTTTTTCACGTTTGAATCAAAATCAGTGAGATAGCCAGAGAAGGCAGCGAAGGGGAAGGCTCACGCAGTTCGAACGACTTCCGATTCATAAACAGATAAAAAAAATATCACGTGTTCAGACCGCCGTGCTCTCACGCCACCGCCTAAAGGTGTAAATCATAATTGCCAATCTGTCGTTTTGGTTAAGTTCTATTTTTGTTGAGCTAATCGACTATGTTTTCCATTTTTCGGCGCAATTTAAAGTTTTTCTCTTCCTAACTGCTTTACACGGGCTTCGTTCGCGTGTCACTGGCAGCTTGGTTTTTCATGTTGGTTCGTTTTTGGTGCGTCACTTCGACGTCCATTGACCCCGTTGAGGTATTGGGAGCTCTCGCAATCTCTCTCCCTATCTCACTCTCTTTGTGTTCGTCCAACGTTTTTGCTTATATTTTATACAAATGTGTAAACAAATTATTTTATTTAATTTTTCAAGAGTAGAGTGCTTCATATCTTTCAGCACAACATTGGTGCAGCTGTTATTTTCATTGCCAACATGAAACCGATGTTTTGAAGAAATAATCATCCTACACTTTGCGATATATGTATGTATTTATGTTCATATGTTCAGCATATTTCTCCGCTCGCAATCAGCAACTACTCGTATTAATGGTCAAATGTAACCAAAAAACATTTTGCTGCGTACATCCTATGTACATATGTATGTTTATGTATATATTTGATAAAACAGCCCGTTCTGACTCAACGTACTTGCAATATCATTGGATATAAGTACAAACATATATCAACAAACTTCGTTTTGCTCTGTTTGGTTTTGATGTCTTTATAAACAAAAAAATGCCTTAAGTCGGTGTGTTCCCATTTGAGCTATATGATATAGTATGTAACTTAACACAGCCGATATGCTTATATTGAAATAAGAGGCCTCCGTGCAAAATTACGTAAATTTTCCGGTCAATGTAGGGCAGAAACTGCGTCAACCTAGCTACTACTTATTCGAAAACGATCAATTAGGTCAAGATCGTATACCATAACGCGGTGAGACTATTGTCTGTAAAGTTGTTCCTTTATGCAGAGATGCACGCATCGATTGGAGGAAAAGTTAGGTTGCACTTAAGCAAGTGTACTCGTACACAATCAATAATTTGTTTGTTATCTGGATTGAAGGATTGAAGTGCTATAAGCCGTCAAGTAAAGTTTATTAGCAATAAAAATCAAGTCTATCTGCACATTTTCTGTCCTCCGTTCATCAGGTTTGATAAGAAATACACCAGCTGTTCCAGACGATCTCCGGATGGGTCTTCGATCCACTTGATATGTGTTTTGTTGAGCCGATTTGGCGCTGCTGTACTTTTCCCAATTAATTCAAGGCGAGTGTCTTGTTACAAAAAAATGCATAGCTAATAATGCGTTATGCTGCGATGAGAAGAAGAGTTTGAATGAAAACCTAAGCAAAAACAAACGTAAATCTAGTTGCCAGATGAGCTATTTAACTAAAGTGTGTGCTGTTACTTTACATATCAAATTGCGCTTATATTATTGTGTTGTCCTCCAACACCAGCAAATAATTGCTGCCACACATTTCTGTCGAATTGTTATCGCCTTCCCCCTAACCACACAATTGATCATAATTGCAAAATTATCACCAGCAATCCGTTCTGTTTATAGCAATTAGCAAATTAATTTACAGCCGCTGCTTTTATGCCTGGGCCTAAGCGTTTCCACTTCATAGAACGTTTTTAAATTTGTCAATTAATGGTTTATGTGGTCTGGTTTAATCTTTATGAACGAAAGTGGTAGCGCGGGGATAAACAAATACAGAGCCAGTGTTAAGGTAAAGAAGAGAATGGATGAATTAATTTTGAGAATACAATTTGCATTCCACTAGTTCTTCAAATCGCTGCATTTCACATGCCCTTAGCCAAATCGTTTATTTCTTAAACATGACAACAGTATCTTGTGGTTCTCAATATCGCAAAATAACAAACATTAAATACTATTTAATAGATGCAAATGATGCACTTTCTACAGACGGACAATTGGTGATGCGATCTGTCACGTCTAGTATGCCCTTAGAGTATAAGTTTAAATAAGCTTGAAAATTTTATTCTTCGATCGTTTGTACTCGTTGTTAGAACAAACTACTAAAAACAGATATCGGACACTTTGTGGAATATTGCTTATATTCCTGACTATATTCTCCACACACACCCAATTCAATAGATATTGGGTTCTTTTCGGCACAATTTTGATGTTATATTGGAAGCCACATATGGGTTTAAAAATTGCATGAGAAGAAACGTTAAGCTGTTAGGCCGACTTACTCTATACTGATTTTATGTTCCACCACTGTTAAAACAAACTTATATACGAGTATGTATCAGATTTGCTTTTCAACTATTCTGTGGGCTGACTCATCGCTCGATGCATTGAATATGAATTTGACCGTTTTCGTTGGCTGCGAGTGGTTCCATTTAAATTTGCCGGCCTTAGATATTATGTTAAAACGTTGCCAAGCCCCTGGCTCGCAGCTCCTCCATCATCCTCGAGTCGTGCGTGCTCCTTGGTGCGTGCGTAAAACTCGTTTGCTGCTCACTCGATGGCTTGTGAGTCGCGTCAGCCGTTGCGACTCGTGAAAATGTAAACAAAATGTGCGTAATTAAATTTTCATGCGCAGGCGATGGGGAAGAAGGAAATTTATGAATAAATCAATTATTTACTAGCGTACTCGTATGCTATGTGGCCAACCCTCGTAGGCAACCGCTGATAAGTCAGTTCCAGACACTGGGTGTGTCCTTGCCTGCGCATTTCCACTTTTTAATTGGCAATTA